TATTTATACAAGGCAAACATGAAACTAATATTTTTGTCCTAAAACTTGGTATGTATTTCCCATCAGACCATTGATAAACTTCTCTTATTAAAAAAACATTTTCAAGTGTAGCTCTGTAATCATTTCACTTGATTTTAAGTTAGATTCATCATGATGAACCAACATTATGTTGAGAAACGTTCAGAAACCAAGAAGTGCTGAACAGATTTCTTGTCCTAGTCGAAGACCCCTTTAGGAGTCGAAGTTAGTACATTTGGGTTACGAGATGAATAGGTTATCAGTCACCCACTGATGCCAGAATCCAATAGCACATGAATCCTAGCATTTCTAACTTCATGATATTTAGGACCACCTACTGTGAAATCGGTTAACAGTTTTCTAATTGACACCAGTTTGTGAAGGAATCTAGATTTGGATATATTTCATTTGCTCACTGGTGACTGGTCCTATTCAGGTAGTTAGTTACCTGGGGTTCCAGTGGGAAGTCGTGACCAGTAGGGTGCAGTAGGTCGGGTGTGAGGACAAATACTCGACGAAGACATTGGCTAGGGGTCGCGCTATGTAGTGAATTGGCAGATGTTAGAATTCATGGGCCATTGGAATGGATCCCAGTTGCTCAATGGTATACGAGCTCGCCTTGTAACCAGAAGGTCCTGGGTTCGAATCCCAGTTGGTGCGTACTACTGAAGAGTTCCAAACTAGGACAAAACAGCTGTTCAGTACTCCCAGGTTTTCCAATGGTTCTCTAACTGATGTCAGCTCAAAATGAAATCCTGTAACCAAATCTCCACCTTGTTATATTTGCTACAGTCAAGTCCAAGATTGCCCATTATCTCGTATCTCTTCCTCTCATTCATACAGTCTTCTCCATGTCACCCTCGCACCGTTGACCCACTTGTTGGTTCCCTTTTGAATCCCATTCGAGTGACAGCCTGCATTTCACATGATGTCATTCGACGGCCTACTCAACGTATACCCGATGCATTTCCACTTTCTCCTTCATATTTATTGAGCGATCGGCTTTTGCTCCGTTGATTTGTTTGCAGAGTTTCTTGTTGCTGATTCTTTCTGACCAACCAACCGTTCATTTGATCTTCAGTATGTAGCCAGCCAGCGAAGGTGACAGTTGTTGATAACAGTCCGCAACCTATTGGAAATCCTTTTGTGACACGCAGTGCAAGTTTCTAACTAATATAGAAGAAGCGACTGACTGGCTTCACATTTAAGCTGAAAATCCAAATCTTGTTCTTTATTCTGAGGCGAAGTACAGAAGATTTCCAAACTGGTTTTAGGTTGATGAAAGTGTATCTTACCTTGATAGTGATTGGTGCCAGTTGTTGTTGCTATTGCTGCTGGTGGTGGTTGGTTATCTTAATCACCTCCGTCTCCACCTTCTCCGTGTTCCCCTAGAGTCCTATCTTCGCTGCTAGCCAACCTCTTCTGCACACTTTGTTTGTTTTCGTCTGCCTGCAAGTCTTCGAGTCTGTGTGACATTAAACATAAATCATCCACAAGAGAAATCCAAATCCTCTAGAGTTTTCTTATCAATCAGTGCAGCGTATTCCTGTTGTTTCACTCCCAAGCACAATCTGACGCATCGTCCAGTCAACCATAATTCGGAATATCATCGGCTATAGTAGGCAGACAGCCTTGTCTTACTCTCGGCTTCACTTCAAACGCTTCGCTGAGTTTCCTCTTGTTGATCGCTTGGTACCTTCCATTGTCATTGAGCTCTATGAAGGCGTCCTGTGGAAGTTCTTTGTTTCACTCGAAACCTAAGGGAATCACGAGAATTAAGTGAATTAGCACTTCCATGTATATATTTAGCTTTACTCATGTGTGAGCTACACGAAAGGAATTAAAAGCACAATTTTATCTCTTTGTAATGTAATTACTGTTTACAGTACAGTTTCTTTTTCCTTTCTCCCCTGAATTCTTATAATCCTCTAAGATGGAAATTTGAGTGTCTCTGGATTAATTGATGATGGTTATCCATTATAATAAAGGTTATTTTTGTATTTACCAATGAATGAAAAACAAGGGACGATATTGTTGTTTTTACTGACATTTCGCTGCTGCTCTAATAGCTTTATCAAAATAGTAATATTAAACCAGGATTTATAAAATCTCATCGTATATAATATAACAACTTAATCATCATTATTCATCAGTATGAGATAATTTATGCGTTGTCAAGTTGACCAATTAGTAAAGATAACAGAGCCAAATGTAGATTGTGGGATTCGATAAGCTCACAAAATTATAAAAGCTGCGTGTTTTTACAAACTGAAATTGTTGATTACATTCGTGTTGATTTTGTCATTTCGTGGGGGAGAGGGGGTGTTGTTACCAGGTCAAATTCTGTTTCAGTTCATCATTCCTATTCAGACAATTTGGATTCCATTTGATATGAAATGCTGGCTTCTGATATTAGACGTTTTTTGTGATTTCTGAAATGCTTTTTCTGGATTACTTCAAAATTGTCAAAATCAATCGAGTGACCTGATTCTTTAGTTTAAAGACGGACTACTGCAGATGATTTCTCAAGCATTTCTAGTCCAACTGGATTTCTCAGTGGTCGAACAGAGGCTGATCTACGGTGTTCATTTTTTCTGACTTTGATTTCTCACCGGTGATGTCTGTCCGATGTTCATTGCAGCACATTCCGAGCATTTTATTTTGTAGATACAATTAGATAGGGAATCCTCAGGGATTTGGTGTTTTACATGGACAAGGTTGCTTTGTAGTGTGTGTCTGATGTTTTGAAGAAAAGTCCGATGTTGTGCTTATTCAGTATTCTTCTGATATCGTCTGCCGTCTGTGATCTATATGGAATGACAACTGTTGAGATCCATGTCTTCGAAATACATTTTCAACCATATTTAACGTCATTGTTGATTTTGCTGATCAAGTCTCAGTAATGTTTGATATTTCTTCTCCTTGTTCTTTCCCATCCGTTAACATCAACGCGTGTACTCGTCTAAGGAGACTTGAAACAGCTGATACTTTTCCGCTGATGGGGTGTAATGATCTGAAGTCTATATATATATGTTGGAGTGAGTTTTCTTCCTGAATATAGATATACTAAAATGTCCGTTTTCTCTCCTCTCAACTAGGCAGTCTAGTAACGGTAGTCAACTGACGTCTGATTCTGCTTCCGAAGTAAACTGGATTCTGGGAGATAGACTGTTTAAGGTGGTAGTCGTTTGTCGATTGGTTCGTTATTCTTTATGCATTTCCATAGTATGTGTGTAGGTGTGTGTGTGTAAAAACTGATTGAAATCAGATGATCCATTGTTTTAGTAAGGTGTTCAAATACACAAAACCATATTTAAATTGAAATCAAGAACCGATTGATTTGAATATATTTAAACAGCCTTATATTATGCTGTACTCTTTCAATCCACTAACTAGTTAAACTCACACACACTTGAATCTACAGGCTTCTATCACATCTATAAATTACGGAACATGTATTGTTATTAGTTTGAAATTCCTAAGTATCAAATCACTTAGCTGGATAGTCATGAGTTTCATCGGCTCTTTACAAAAAATGTTTTTTGAAGTTTGGCAATAAATTAAAGTGAATACCGTTTATTTTAAAGTGATCGTTCATTACCCGCTTTCATCTTACTTGAATAGGTAAACTAAAGTTCTATGCCTCCAGAATTTATATTTTTTGTAAAGGAAATGCAAGGCATTGTTTATGATCTCTGGAAGTAATATGTTGTAAAGGATAAATTAGGCATTCTTATAACTTTCTTTCGTTATTGCTCCGCACTGAATAAATGACAAAGTAATGACATTATATATTAAGGATTATTTCAGTGTATGGCAGTCTTGCTCACCTTTTTTATATACCTAGTATATATCCATGATTTGGCTACTCCAGTAGTATATGAAGTTAATGTATAAAACGTTTACATGTGATTCAATATTAGTTTGTTTATTAGATATCTCACACAGTCAGTGAAACAGTATTATTTACTGGATGACGAAGTCATATCAGTTGTACTTACACGACTGCAAAACTTGAGTTTTATAGTTTTCTTTGTCCTCTCCTATTTGTCGTCGTTGGGGTAGTAGAATTTTCCAGATATCTAGCTGGACAGGTGTTGAATCATTCCTATTGCATGTATTTGCAGTTGATTCGATAAACAAAGCTTCTGTTATCAATCTATCCCTCCATCCTGTGACCTTAGATTTTAAAACTGTCATCCTATCCCATCCTATTGTGTGCATGCGTGTAATTGCGTGTAGTGGGTGGTATAGCTGAACTATTCTCTAGATTTCTTATCTTATTAGGGTCAACCAATCTAGATTTTGTTAGGTTTTTATGTTCGGCCAGTAGAACAATGGGATCTCGTCTTTCCAACTCATATCATGTATAGGTACATGTATAGATACAACGTTTTCTTTTTTTTTGTTTTCTCTTTTTTCGTTATGTGCTGCTTTGTTTCTCTCTTCCTTACAAACTCCATTTAAAACGTTTTTCTTTGTTCTTTCACACTCTGTATATCTCGACCTTTTTGTTACCACTTACGCCAGTAAATATGCTAGTCGTATCTACTTTTCTAACACCTTCAAACACTGTGTTCACTTTTGGTTTGCTACCGACATGCCAATATGTTGTTGTCAAAACTAACTGAGATTACCTTCAATCTATGCATAATTTTATTTACTGTTAATATACTAACTGGATGCTACATACTGTAGTAAAATGTTGAGAATTCCATTCTGTATCACAAGTACTGTTTTGGAATAAAGCAAATTATTATTATTATTGTTCCTTTAACTAAGCAATAATATCTTCCGTCAATCTACTGCCTCAAGCGATTAAACTTGATAGTTTTCTTCAACCCATGGTTTAATGAAAACCTCATCAAGTGGTTACTGTGTTTCTATTAATTGTCAAAAATCACCTTAGTTTATTCTTGATAAGCTTTTTAAGTGTCATAATTCCGGTTGTTTTTTTTTCTAAAAACTGTAAATTCCCACAGCATTCAGATATTCCAATCAACTACGATAACGATGGCAACAACAATCTTCAGCATACACGTAGTAATAAAATTCCTCCTAAAGATCAATTTCATCCTGGTGCACCAGACAGTGAAAATGCCATCCCTTCAGCCAGTGAAGTAAATGAATTCAATGCTGAAGGACTTGTACGCATTACTATTCGTCCAGATAGTCATGGACGTTTTGGATTTAACGTCAAGGGGGGAATCGATCATGGAATGCCAGTTATTGTTAGTCGTGTTGGTACAAATATGCCTGCTGATTTATGCATTCCAAGACTATCGGAGGGTGATCAAATTTTATACATCAATAATAAAGATGTTTCAAATCAAACGCATATGCAGGTAACATCTTTTCTATGTATATTTTTTCTCTTCAGTAATGATTATCACGCCACTGGTTAGTTAATTTTGAGAGTAATTTTGGTATTTTCTTATAGAAAACCTGCATCAACGGGTCAGTAAACTCATTTTCTCAGCTTTGTGCCGTTGAAATACACATGCAATCTGGTAAAGTGCTTGGTTCACAGAGCAGGAGCAATTTGCTCGGACAAATGTCTTGATGAGGAACTTAATAATGTTAAACGACTGATGAGTGAAAATGGTTATCCAGAAAAGTTTATTGATAAGAATATGAATCTAAAATCAAAGCAACCCAAGATGCCAACAGTTCCGAAAAAGGAAGGCCTTATTCTTGCAAATTCAGTTTCTTGGGGATAACATCAACGGGAGTAAAAGACAAGCTGCTTAATTTCACCTCTTCCATGTGTATCTACCAATTTAACTGCTCTTGTGGAGCCAGTTGCATAGGCCGTACAATTAGGCGTGTTTCTCGTAGAATTTCCGAACAACACCCTGCGTGGTTAAGCAAAGGACAAGCAAAATCTGTTCGCAGCGCTATTCTATCTCATCTTGTAGAGACAGAACACAAGATTGACGTTAACCATACTTTCAGGGTCATTTACCGGATACCTACGAATCTCAATCTCACCTTAAGAGTTCGTTGACAATATATTGCTGAAGCAGTGGGTATCCATATTAACAAACCTAATTTGTGTATCCAAAAGAAGTTAGTTCAGTTATTATCCTTACCTTGGCCATCCAGGTTTGAATGATCCTGAATTTTTGTGAAATTTCCTAAATTTTAGTTGATATTCTATTCGCTACTATATCTTTATTATTATTATAATTTAAGCATCTTTAATGAACTGTAATTGCATTGATCATATCTTACAAATCGATTTTATTTAAAAAAACACTAATATTGTTATTAACTACTAATCTAGAATATTCTATGTATATAAACATAAATGTATATAATTGTAGAGCCAGAAGAGGAATATATCGAATTTTGTGTTTTAACAATTACAAGAGTTGGTTTTTCAGATATCTGATTGATTTCAGGATTTCATCATGAATTGACAACAGTCAGAGGACCATTGGAAGACCTAGGAATATTGGGAAGCAGTTTCATCCTAGTTTGGGACTCTTCATCGGTACGCACCCTCCACCTTATTGCGAACCAAGAGCCTTTTACGAGCTCTCCTTGCAACCAGAAGGTTGTCGGTTCAAACCTCAGTGAGTGCGTACCGATGAAGAGCTCCAAACTAGGACAAAACGCCTGTTCATTGGTCACAGGCCTTCTAATTAAAAGGATTATCTAACAGTTCCACATCTCCAGTCTTTAGTTCACTAGTCGCTGGTTTGAGTCCCAGGGCCATAGGGAGTTTTTTCCCAATCTCAAAATGTTTACAAAAATCCTGAAAACTACTCATTTCATTAAAACGATAACAGTGAATATTAGCGAAATCGAATTTTCTTTTATATTCATCGTCGATCATAATTTCTCAATAAATAGTAGTGGTAGTAATAGTAATAGTAAAAATCAATACTTCCAAGTAATCTTTCTCCCACTGGTGAATGTATATTATACTACTCAAGGTCATTTGCTTTTTCATCTAGGGAAACATCTTCATGAAATTACGAATTGTTTTACTTAAATTTTGAAATGCCGATTTATTATTATTATCATCTTTTTTTTGTCTGAATACATAAATTACTCGCAATTGTAACATTGAATTAATGCTGCTTGTTTTAATAATTTCCTTTTAAAATGTGCGCTTTATGAACAGCCTGAATAGAGAGAGCTACACTCCGTTGAAACGTTTTTTCTTCTCCTCAAAGACAATTTGTATCGTTTGTCTGTTTGCTTAACTATCGTCTGCTTTTGAGAACTAAACAAAAAAATGTGTCACGCAATAAATCAAAAATCTTGAGGTGAATCAATTCAGAACAACTTTGGAATCTTTCCCTTTTTCTTCTTTTTTTGCTTTTTTTCTCAATTTATTAATCACATTTATAAGTAGTATTCTTATTTTTACTTGGCTTTTAAATTTTGAATTTTAGGTTGTTAATATGATACGAGCGGCTAGTGAACAATCACATGGTAGTACACTTGAACTTTTAGTGAAGCCAAGTGGTAAGTGTCATTTCTTTATTCACTTTGAAATTCATTTAAAGGTATGAAAGAATGGTTGTTTTAGTTGACTGTCTTATTCCGCCTTTCACATTGTTCGTATTAACATAAGTAACGTGAAGGAAACATTCTTCTCCGACCAGTCGTATAACCTTGAGCTGCAATCTACGAATGTTTGGCATGCGATTCTCTCCCACCAAATGTAAAATGATGTTACAGAACTGGACTACACTGACTCCTAGTTTAGAAATAGGGAGTGAAATGGTAGAGCACGTTGACCGCTTAACTTATTCGGAAAGTACCGTCAGTCGCAACAGGTTGATCTCTGACGAAATCTCAGCATGGATACAGTGGGCTAGTTTCGCATATGTCAGTTTACACCGTCTCTGGCGTAGACGTGATATCCGACTATCGACCAAAGGGTGGGTGTACTGCTCATCAGTCCGCTCCGTCCTCCTCTATGGCTGTTGGACCTGACCATTGAGAGTGGAAGACATGAAAAGCCTGGCTAGCTGTCTTTGATCATAGGTGCCTACGTTGTATCTCCCGTGTGAAGTGGTATAATAAGGTGAGCAATATTGAGGTTAGGCATCGAGTGCTAGGTAAGGAGGGGAAATCAATCGACGAGGTTGTGAAATTACATCGACTGAGATGGTTAGGACATGTGTTGCGTATGCTTAGTCATCGCCTTCCTTGACGGATAATGTTAGCTGACATAGGGTCAGGCTGGAAAAGAGCCAGTGGTGGTCAGAGCAAAACATGGCTTCATCAGTCAGTGAATTCCACAGCAGTTAATTTAAGCCACGTAGGAAGATGTAGACTTCCTGAATGGGGCGCTGAATATGGTAAAAACCAATGGTTGAGAACAGTTGGTGATATGGCTCAAAATCGTTCTCAATGGCTGGTGCAGATGCATCCACTCCTTGTGACTAATAATTTCCAATAAAACTATATTGTTCTTCGATCTTACTATTCCTTTGTCTCACACCTCTGTTTACTGTCCCTGTTATGCATTTCTTCTACTTTCTTCTGTTGCTTTGTGTGCTACATGGAGGGAGTGTGGCGACTTAAACTGCCACACATGTGTAAAGTTCTATGTCGAAAACAGACAGAGAGACAGATAATCCGAAATATCCAAAAACATCTTCGGGAGTTTGTTTGTGGGGATTTTATTTGTTTCGGGATTGGTCACGGACTGATATCAGCTGGAGAACTATTGAGGAAATAAGGAGTACTTAACAGCTTTTTACTCCTAGCTTAAGACTCATTCGCAGTACGCGCCCTATCGGGGTCTGAACTCAGGACTTTCCCGTTACAACTTAGGCTCGTAAACCATTCAGCCAATGGGACCCTACCTACTCCAATGGCCAGTCCATGACTTCTGACTACTACCAACTCGTGATTTAAGTGTGACTAGCATCAGCCAATATCATCCAGTAAAAAGTCGTGACTAGTGGGATCCACCGGGATAGGAGTGAGGATAGGAATTTAAATGCATTTTATAAAGAATTCAGACTGCTAGAGATAAGTGTCGCTTGTCTAAAGGACTACTGTGATGCATTTTGTGATCTCCGTGTTTAGTTAGAGTTTTTCATGCACCATATGATTTAATCTGTTTCTATAGTCTGGTCTTTACTAAATATAAAACTATCAGCAGGTTCTGATTACTTGGATTTTTATTATTCTGTGTAACATCCAACAGTGGGTGAATCAATATTTTATCTAGACTCCTCAAATAGCTTTTGCTTATAGATTCTATTTTTTTGCGTGAGTGCGGATATCATATTTGTCGGAGAATGGTCTGATTTTCGACCAGATACTAATAAATTCTACAGATTATGCTAAACAATTGGAACTAGCTAGATAGTGGCCCAGTTTACTAGCTTGTTAGCCTTCTAGCCAGTCCTGAGCCCGGGAAAAGGGGCGAATGGACGTGGAACTAGCGACCCTACTCGAAAATCAATCAGACTGCTACAGAAACTTCAAAGCACAGAAAATATATGAAAAATAAACCTATTCTTCGCGGGGTGGTGAAAGCCTTCGGGAAGGCAGCCAGTCGATCTGTCTTCTCTCGATAAAAGCGAAAATAAAGATGGCGAAGTGGAATATTCGTACAATATACGAAGCTGTTAAGGCTACCGAAATTGCGAACGATATACCAGATAAACAGGTTTCCATCAAAGAAAAGACCAACGCAGGAAAAATCTATAAAAGATGAACAAGAGAACCTTATTACCAAAGACTAGCGACAAATAAAATAATAGGCTATTAAATTCTGAGGACTCCTGAAACGATCATCATCTGCAACTCACCAAGAAATACCACCAACATTACCCAAACAACTGCCAGTGGACAACAGTCCCTCAATGAAAGCAAAAATCTTGAATGCCATCAAGCTACCGAACAACATCCAGCAAGGCAGCGGGATCAGGAGGATTCCCTCCCCCATCCAAAGCACTGAAAACGAACCCAGAGACTGCGATAGGTATGCTAACTCCGTTATTCCAAAAGATTTGGAGAGAAGAAACGGTGCCTACCGATTAGAAGAAAAGCTGTCTACCTTTCCAAAGCACCGAAGAAGGTGAAATTAGGCCCCACCCTAAAAAAAACTAGAGTGGAATCACACTCCTGTCCACCCCAAGTAAAACACTAAGTCGCCTCATGCTGGAGAGAGTAACAGAGGCACTCGATAGAGAACTCCACTCCCAACCAGAACAGGCTGGATTCAGGAAGGAAAAATCATATGCTGATCAAATTAAAACTGTATGCATTATCATCGAACAGAACATAGAATGGCACTCAAACGTCTACCTCAATTTCATCGACTTCGAAAAGACTGTTGACTGTCTTGACCCGAGAAGTAATTTGGAAACTACTTCAAAACAATGGCATGCAGTGACCAAGTCTTTATCAACCTCATTCAACAAGCTGGCTATACGACAATGCCATGTGTCAGTCAGGTGATTCACTACAGAAAACTTAGTGAGGCGTTTGAAATCAATACTGGAGTAATACAATGCCATCTACCTACTGTAGTTGATGATATTCTTAAGTGTGGTGGACTTGATTGTGCATCAGACTGCGTCTGGAGAGTGAGAAAACAGGAATACGTTGGATTGACAAGAAGATTCTGGAAGATGTAAATTTCATGTGTAGTTGATTCATTTATAATGTCAAAAAAAGTGGAAGACTTACAGCCGAAGACCAAAAACTTATCAGAAAAGACTGGCTATGTTGACAGGGTCTAAGTGAACATGGAGAAGATGGAGGTGATGAAAATAACCAACAAACAACAAGAAACATCAGTCACTTCCAACAGGTGAAGGTTTAATGAGGTTACTTCCTTCACTTATCTAGGTTGCATCACTTCATCTACAGGCAGTCGGCAAAAATGAGGATTTAGACAAAGCAATAAGAAGACGTAATTTGTCTGAATCGTGTAATGTATTTGCGCAACACATTTCGGACAATCTGATCACACACGGACACAAACTCTGGTTGATAACAATTATCCAGACAAGTTCATCAGGAGATATAAGGTGGTCAGAACATCAAGACCTATTCTGCAACTCGCCCCTAAGAAAGATGTGTACATCAAGCTACCCTATATGGGGCATCAGAGCAGTTTGATAACTAGACAAAGACTGAACGCTGCTGTTAATAAGACTTTGTGCAGCTAATATCATAACAATAGAGAATATAAAGCCAATATATCTATCCAAGCTCTAAGAACAGTTGAAAAATGATATCTTATCTCACTGTATGTACATGTGGACACATATAAAGTGAGGACTCATTGATCTCTGGAAGTAAAAGCTTGCTTCAGAGTATATTTCTAAATGGCTCCAGAAGCAAATAGAATCTTAAGAACCCATTATTGGTGAGAACAGGAGACCTAGCTCCTCTATTGCGGAACATATTATAGAGATAGGGCATAAAATTGACGTCTTTTAAACCTATCTATAAAACGTGTTTGGGGCGTATCCTAAAGTTTGTGGATGCCCTAGCAATTAGAAAATTTAAACCACGTTTATGCGTTCAAAGCAACAATTCGTCATCACATTAAACCACCTTCCTTGGTCAATTTTGTTTTGATTCCATAGCAGATGTACTATTACTTCTGCTATTTGGTTTAGTGGTCTTCACTGTTATTTTGACCTTGAATATGTCCTTTTAACTTGACCTAAGTCTATTTTCTCACCTCTTAACTCTTTATCAATTTCATATATATTTCTATGACAAGTCTGTGTGTGATCAGATTGCTCAAAATGTGTTGTGCAAATACATTACACGATTCAGACAAATTACGTCTTCCCTATTGCTTTGTCTAAATTCATGAAGGTAACTAATTGTTTTAAAAATGAGGATGTCAAAACTAGCCAGAATAGGTAAGGCAAACATCATCTTCATCGCTCTGAAATCATTTTATAACTCTTCTGCACTCAGAATAAAAAAGAGATTTTGAATTTTCAACACCATTATTAGGTAATTTCTTGTATATTGGTGTCACAGAAAGCATCTCCAACAAGCCACAGAAAACTTTTTGTTTAAAGTTGCCTTCTCTGGCTGCATACTGAATATCAGACAGCCGGTCAGAAATAATTTTCAACAAGTAACTAAGGGAGCGAAAGCATCAGGAACCGATTTGTTCAATAAATATTCCGACAGAAATTGAGATTGACTGGACACACTCTGAGGGGACCATCAAATGACATCGTGTGCCGCGGGGGTGCTGGAGTGTAACCCCAATGGAGAATGATGAGTTAACTATCCGCAGATGACATGGCAGGGGATCGAGTGAGGAGGAGGTGAGAGCCTATGGGCAAGTGTGGGACCAGCTGAAGAGGACCACAGAAAGTGGGACAAAATGAAACCTAAGATGACAGCACGATTACACAAATCAATGACTTCTGTGTTGATAACTCATTCTTCAGCGTATTTTTACGACCTGGAAAACTTCCCCTGCATGGAAAGAAAACTAAAAGCCCAGAAATGTCTCAACAATTAGCTCTACCTTTAACTCCTCAATGTCATTAGGATTAGGAATAATATTTTAATACCAGTTTTATCTTATCAGTCAACTAGCAATCAATCACTTAGACAAATATGTACAGAAAGTAAACCTATTCCAAAATTTCATCACATTCTAAAATATTTTTCTCAAATTTTCTCACTCTGTCCATAAAATAGGCCCTTTTTGAGTTTCTCAGGGCTCAATTTTTTTAATCTTTACTTACACATCTTCCCTAGATCTTTGGTTTTTTCTCCTCTCAATTTCTCTTGTTCATCCTTCTTTCTAGATTCATATATATTCACACACACACACACACACAAAATTGAGATCTTTATTGATTGAACTGTCTGTCAGTACAAGTGTACAAGTGATATAAGATGTAATATAAAACTAATCAAAAGAAAACGACGTGTACTGAAATTTGTTTACTGTCTGCCATTGACACACTCATAGTGAAGAATGAAAGATATACAACGATAGCTTGAAGCGAAGTTCAGTTTCTTTCTTCTATACTACTGTTACTACAACAGTAGTATTAATATTATTATTATTTTCCAACTAACAGACAAACATTAACAACTTACTTTATCTCTATTTCGTTTTTTTCCACTAGAAGCCAAATAAATTATAGAAAAAATTAAAATAATAAGTAATAAGCTAGTGCATATAGTTTATGCGCCTTTTGTAAAGATTAATACACCTAGTGTATTAGGCTTTAGATCTTTTTGACAGCCTAAGGATTAATTTTTTTCTGGGGAAAGTACTTCATACAAGTTTTAACCAATCAGATTAGCGTGCCAAAATGAGACTGACTGTTTTTTTTCAGTCTAATTCGATTTAATTATGGTTAGATAATTTGTACAAACAAGTTGACTGACTAGACTTCTACTTATGAAAGTACCAAAGTTGTATTCTCCTAATTAACAAGGCCATTTAACTCAGTCGCTTATTCTGTCCTTAAAAATAATACACTTTGGTGGTGGTGACTAGCAGTGGAATCCAGAACAGTGCGCGTTTCGTCCTATTTGGGATTCGCTTTCTGGATGTACCTGAATCCCCAGTGAGTGGTGGTGTTCCCATCGAGGCTGAAACCAACCACATAGAGATATCGTCGAAGCACCTGCACAAGGAGCCGACTTGTCAACCTGGGACCGAGCACTTCGGTTCAATCAATCGCAAGGGAAAACCTAAAATTGAATTAGGCTTACTCATTTGTTAGAAAGTTTCGGTTTTCAATTATTCTTCCTATTATAATAATAATAAGATTTTTATTCCTGATAGTATGTATATATATATATAATGTACAGAATTTTCAGAGGAGTTTATTGCGTAATATATTTTCCCTTCTTACCATATCTTCAAGTAAAATATTAATTCGTGGTATATCCCGTGACACAATGATCTCTGAGCTGAAGTACAAACCATTCGACTGCGATATATCTGCTTTGTCTCTTTTAACAAATCCACGATGTCGATCTAGTTGAAAGCCAATTGTAAGATGTTCAGAAGTATATTTTGACATCCAAGAACATAACTGAAGAACAGTTATCTCATGTATTGGAAGACGCTGCCACCCACAATCAGGTCTTTCTTCACGTTCAGTAGAAACTTGCGAATCAGGAGCTTGTAAACACTTTAAATACATACAAGAGTATATGATACCCTTAGAGGTAATATCTTAATCGATTAAAACAAAACGAACAAGAGAAAATCTACGCAATGGAAAGTTAGAAGATTTTGGTAGCCCAAGTTATTAGCAGACCACCGACATATTATTATTCCTTAGGTTCCAAGTGGATCACAGGGTTTCAACAGCAGACCTCCACTTCTTCCTCTTTACTGCAGTTTTCGTAAGCTGGCTCCTTATCTTCTTCCCCATTAACACCTCCATGTCATCCTCAAACCTCCAACTCACTGTATCCCGTTTAGGTTCCACACAGTGTTCCACGCGATGTATTAGAATGTGACTAGTGCTACAGTTTAACAGTTGGGATGTGTATAGAGAAACTATGGAACAATAAAGATGGAAGTAATTGATAGTAATCGGAAATACATAATCTAACTCAGTGCATACAATACTCTCTGTTGGAAGATTCGGTTGCAAATGAAGCTTGAAGTATTAAAATATATTGTCCACCAGTCATGTTTTTTTTGGCTGCTTTTAAACCATGCGACAAAGATAAAACTACGTCGATTAGATTTGTGCATAAATTTTCATTTACAAAATTCTTATTCGCATTTTAATTTCTAATTTCTCTGATATTTTGTGACTTTTCACTTAGTGATCTTTTTAACTTCGTCTTCGCATAATTTTACCTTAGCTGAGTTAAGATGGTGTAAGTGTGCAAGTGTGTGGCATCTTGCATAGATGAGCAGCAACGTTCAGTTTCATGTTTCATCCGCTTGTTTTTGTTTTCAACCGAACACTACCAAGTCACATAGTATATAATCATGCTCAAATTGATGCCTTCTTATTTTTCAATTGGATCCCAATGTCTGAACGGCCTATGAGCTCGCTGGCCTTGTAACCAGAAGGACCTGGGTTCGAACGGCTGCTATGAGTGCACACTGGTGAAGAGTTCAAAACTAGGATGAAACAGCTGTCCAGTATTCCCTAGCTTTTAGTGTTTCCGCAGCGGAATGCTCACAAACCACACACTAAGTACGGAGTTCGATTCTCAGCTGATAAACTCCTAAACCTCAGCAGTAGACCCGATAAAGAGGGAAGGCTAATGGTGATGTTAGCAATTTCACCCTTTAAATGACGAAGTCACCGCTGTCGAAACTTCAGTGGTCAAACTTAAAACCCTATATTCCACTGTGAATGAGAAGGAACTCAGTAAAGATAATACATACTTTCTACTGAGCGACACTTTTTCTTCTTTCCAGATTACGTTACAGACGACGTGAATGATGACAATCCAATACCAGATTCTGGGGATGCACCACCAGTTCCACCTAGATCCTATCAATCTTCTATACGTCGGCCTACTCTATCCCTGGAGAAGTTCACAAGAGGCTCAAAACGTCTGGCACGTTTTTCACTTAGATCATCAACATCTCACAATCTAGCCGACAGGGATCATGACGGCGGTGTTGTACTCAGAAATTCTTTATCTGGTTCAAGTTTATTAGATTCAATGATAGAATTGGAGACTTTGTTGGCTGATGGTTCACTACTCAATCAATTCGAAGTAAGTTAATATGTTCTATTCAATTTCTTATGTAATTCTTCATAGCCAAGTTTTGAAGAATTTACTTCTGTAGTTATTCTTAGTAATGACAAGTGTTTGTTGTCCTTCCAGCTTTAGTATTTCAAAATAAGATTTTAAGCGAACAATTGTTTTCGATAACTTCTTCTTCAGGCTCTACACTTATAGATCCATGAATAATAGAGTACATATAGCCAATAAAAGTAAATGAAAATAATATCAGAAACTGTATTGGAGTGGATGTGTGTAAGTTGAAATGATAGTCCATCAGTTAACATAGTCAATCAAATGTGTATAGGGTGTTTAGTCAGAAAAATGTGATGAAGTGTGAATGAACAATTGGGTGATACAGTGTTATTTTATAGTCAACAGAATACAAGTGTCGTTGGGATGAGAGAAATGTGATAACCACAAGATACATACAAACACACATTAACAAAGGGGACATTGAATGTGAGGGCTGACCGATAATAACCCTGTCTAATGATAAAATAAAGAGGATAAATTGTAAATTGTAACAAGATGTTACAGAATTGGTAGGCTTAGTAGAAAATCATAAAAGTTGACGAAAATAAGGGTAACAATGAGGTGAAATAAACTGCGTGGAGAAATGGATAATAAAGATATGATATCACAAAATGATAATAATGATAATAATAGTACGAAAAATTATGATCCTGGTGACCTTATAGTGGGCCAGGGTAGACAAAGGGAGTGAATAAGTTTTTTCTGTACATATAGGTCTGGTCTCTCTTCATTAATCTCTGAAGCCTCAGTTATGGCTAGGTGGCGTTATCGTGTGCATTTGGGGAGATTGTTCGGTACTCGATAGACAACTGTAAATGACTCATCTACTTTGATGCTGTGTTCGCTATCCACTAGATGAGACAGAATTGCACTATTTAATGATTTGGTTGCTCTTTCCCAAGCCAAACAGGAATATGCTCACGAGTGCGTAAAGATAAATTCCTTTGGGTACGACCTATATAACTAGCTCCACAGGAGCAGTTGACTTTATATACACACATTGATGTCGCCATTTTGGGCAATCCATTTTTAATGCACAGTGTCAATATCGGTTTGGTTGAGAAACTGACATGCAGTCTTGCGGCATTAAACGTTTTTTCAATTGATCTTGTTAATCTACGATTTAATATATCACTGGATATATCGCCTTTGAATTGTACATTTAAGTAAAGCTTTTTCTTACTTACTGTGTCTTGCTTAGTTTTATGTTTAGTTTCAAAGTTGGTATGATAGTCGTTAGTATTTCATCATGAATTCTTTACTATAACCTTGATAGTGATTAAGTTGGAGTTAATTCGTCTCTCATATTTTAACTTTCCGACACTGCTTGTGAAGGTTGAATTATATTTCACTAACATTCGAGAGCTCTGTTTCAAATTCCAGAATAGCACCACATATTGCTCCTGAGATGTAAATAATTTGTAATTTTTTTTTCAAAAATTTTAATCAGCGAAAAATTTATCCTCCGTGGAACATTTGCACAGCACATTGTAGTCATCCTAAATGTTTAGTAGCTTTTTGAGCTTCGGCTATAATTGACAGAGCTTACGTAGTCTGTTTAAAAGTCATCTGGAGGGGCAGTTTATGTTAAATGGTACAAGACGTAATTTTGAATCATTTGTTTACTGTAGAACAGAATCTTTATTGAAGGCCATCACCTGAACATCCTTTATGAACCTTCCATTCCAAATGATATCAGTGAGATAATGTTCTAAGAATTTTTTTGTTTTATTCCTTCGCGTTCTCAGTGGAACATAGGGCATCAACTAAGAGCTTTGAATTCCCGGCAGCAGTAGTATTTATTTTTACGGGATGGAGTTGCTAGCCACCTCATGCCCAACTTTTCCTCTTTACTAGTTTTATTACTGGCTTAGCGAGTTAAGTGAGTGCGTCAGTGGCGGGGGATCGAACCCCGAATCACCTGTTTGGTTGGCCAACATTCTGCCTCTGTGACACCGATGCACATGTTTTCAGGAGGTGTCTTATTAATTAAACCAACACAAGATAGTAAAAATGAATACGTCATTATTCATTTTACCAGTTATTTAAGTACTTCAATCCATATAAGTTAGTGAAACAAATCACATAAATTTGTAATCAATAAATCAATACAAGGTAGTTGGTCCTTAGATTTGTTTTGTGGGGATTTGTTTCCATAAAATGGAAGTTTGAGGATTGAATGAAATTTTTAAAAATTATGACATAATGGTTAATTAGATCACTACATAGTTGAGCGGCATAGATTCAAATCTTTAGGAGAATATGTGTTTCCCAAGGATTGTCTTGCTTCGTATTATAGGAGGCGATTTAAGCAAATACGTATTTTCGGTAAATTCTTATTAGGATTTTCACATTTACATAATGAAATATTAACCATAGGCATTTGAATTAATGTGGTTATTACTTCAATTGATCACGAAATAGCAAGATGGCTGGCAGACATAATTAAACCACTGAAGCCAAAAGTATCTAAGCATAGTTTGAAGGATACGTTAGAATTTATAGACAAAGTAATAGGCAAGAAGATCAGTGATGAGACAATGATCTGTACGGAAATCCCCTACCTGTTCACTAATATCCCCTTATAAGAGATCATCATTTTTATCTGTAAATCTCTTACAGAAAGTTATATGGACGTAGGTATACCACCTCAAGTACTATGGGAACTGCCATTCCGTTGTACGATGAATGTGAGGTTTAACCACTTGTTTTACCGTCAAGCGGAAGGCATAACAATGGACTCCCCTGTAGGTCCTCTGTTAGCCGATATGTTTATGGTAAACTTAGAGAATCGTCCACTCAAAATAGTAATCAAAGAAATTTCGTTCTACTATAGATAAGTGGACGATACTTTTATCTTGCATAATGATAAAATTGATACCTAGGTCCTTCCTCAGAAGTTCAGTATGCCTCATCCACAAATTGAATTCACATATGAAAAGCAAAAACGGCAACAGCTTATCATTTCTTGATGTCCTGCTAACAAGAAGGCAAGATGACAGTATTATGTGGGGTATTTTTCAGAAGAAGTCATTGGTTGGCCAATACACCCAATTCAAGTCGTTTGTTCCTCTTACATACAAACGAATTCTCATCAGTACCTTGATGCATCATCCTAGAAACCGACACAACCAACACTCTAGTAGATGAAATAAGGAAAGTGGAAAACTTTTTATACTAGAACGGATATCCCGAAAAATTTTATAAGGTCTTGATGAGGAGAATAGATAGAGGGAGAAATGCCTGCAAAGTGTGCAGAAGAAACGCATATACATGACGTTACCACTTAAAGGAGACTCAGCAACTGAACTGCTAGCGCTGAAATTTCAAAAAGCAATAGCTGAAACATTCTTTGCCGCAATATTGTGTTTAAAATTCACCACTCGTTGTGTAATTCTAATACAAGTGCAGGATAAACTATCGAGTCTGGCCACTTCAATGTGCATTTATAAATTCAACTGTTCGTGGGGAGACAGTTACATAGGTAGAACGACTCGTCAAGCCCACTGTCACCATCTGGAGCATTTTCCAATGTTGTTAGGTAGAAGAGTCGTTAGGTCAATCAGAAGCTCCATACTGACATATCTAGTGGATACAGGGCACAAAATTGACTAAAATTAAGCTTTCACAATTCTATAGAGAGTGCCACCTCAACTCCCTAGGCTGGTACGTCTTCAGTTGCTGAGCATAGTTGAGGCAGTTGTCAAAAAGGTTTTTCAACCCGACTTCTATGTTCAGAAAAAGTATGTTCAGTCGCTCTCCCCCTCCCTTGGCCTTTACCCTTAACCTAAAATGGTTATCTGTCCTGATGACACTGGATAACTGTAAATATTATGTCATTATATTTTTATTTTATTTGTAATGCTGACTGTATTGTCAATATCATGCTGTGTCGTAGATGTACATTTTATTCTCGGTTTCACAATTTATTATTATTATATTATCTAATTGCGATGTGACGATAGTTATTTTCCTGTCTACCCCAACTAGCATACACATTCTACGTATAAACTCACCGTTGTCTAGATTATATAAACACTTGAATGAATTTATCCTTATTATTATTATTATCACTTCGATTGTTATCCATTAATTCACATCCCTGAACTCTGATCCCATACATTTTATTAACAACCTTAATTCAAATGCCCATGACTAATATTTCATTGTGTAAATGTAAAAAGCCCGATAAGAATTTACCGAAAATACGTATTTGTATTAATCATGTCCTATAAATATCACTATGGAGATTTTTAAATGATTGCTTAGTATCACCAATAAGGAGGATATCTGGATCTAAGATCATCAGCCTGTTGACTTCTCTCAAAAATAGTGAGCATAGAAAGGTATATGAGTCGTCCTAGAAGATCACAGGTTATCTAACAAATCACTGTAGTGAATCTGTGTAAACTTAGATTAACAGACTGAAACTGGGTTGGTTCCATGTGAAAATGTCTATTCGCTTACAAGAACTCGTTGAGTTTAACCAATTTTATTAGCTGCCATAAAACTATTTGCAGTCTCCAGCATTCTTTACGACGGTTTACAGACAGAAATATAGCATATGGCTGGTTACAAGATGAATTCTGTGCGCCTGAACTCTAGTGTGATGAAAAATTCGCCGCTTTTGATGTCACAGGTATCAATCTATATCTTTAACTAACTAAGTAACTAACTTAAGTTAAATGGATCACTGTTATCTAACCGATTCTCGCCAACAAACTTGACAATATTCTTTGACGAGTTGAGCACAGACTGATATCAGTAGGAGAGCCATTGAAAACAAGCAAGGAGTGATGAACTGCTGTTTCATCCTAGTTTGGGAATTATTGGCAGTACGCACCCACCACCGGGGTTCGAACCCAGGATCTTTCAGTTACAGGGCAAGCTTGTATACCATTCAGCCACTGGAACCCAATCCAATGGCCCTTGAATTCTTACTTCTAGCAATTCGT